CGTGGTGCCAAATCAGCATATAGCGCGGTGCAAGGGGCGTGCTTTACTGCTAAGGGTGTTAGATCGGGAAATATAGTCTGATCGGTGTTATATCGGTAAATATACCGGTCACCGGTGATTTTTCGGGAAAAACGTCGATTTTATGACGTATTTTATATTATTACTGACATATGGATTATTTTGTCACTGATTATTGTGTATTTCGTTTTACCTGTAAAATTGTATGTTTTATATTACTCAAATTGACTTTATGATTTTATTACGATTTTAAAATATGTTTTGAATTTTTTTACTGTAATACGCTAGATTTAGTCGTAACGTATAGCCTGGGTATAGGAGTTACAAGAAGGTTAAATTTAATAATAGAAATGAGAAAATAATTCAAAGAGTTAATCTTGATATTCTATTTTTATTCATCAATGATCCTAAATCAGTGTAAAATTAAACAAAATAATATTATTCTAAGACTTTTACATTATTTATGATAATCTAACAATACTCAAATTACATAAATCATAAAAATTACTCAAATTAGTAGTAGTAATTTTATAATAAGTTTAGCATGTAGCAATGGAATGGGCTTCTCATTAAAGAGCCTGAGGTGTAGCATAGTACAAAACAAACTTGGCCCAAATTAGATCTTTGCAATCTAATCAATATACCCTTAATGCAAATAATTCGATTTAATTAATTTGGAATTTTTTTTTTCAATTTAGATTGAATTTTATTTCTCTCCCATTATAGTTGTATTTTTTATTAAAAAATAAGCTAATTATATAAAATATTTATAATAATAGATTTTAATTATAATTATCTTTTTAATTAGAAATTATAATTTATTGTCGATAATCCTATCGTCCTAAGAGACATTAACACTCCGTTTCAGAACTCAAACTCTACCGTTAGAGATGAAAAATGGTCGGGGTGGGTGTAGATATCTCTTCTCCATCCACATACCTACCTAATATCTTTGTTTTCACTATTTACCCATCACTTACGATGAGTAAAAATTTTAAATCCACGTCTGCCTACGCGGGTACATTCTCAAATCCACCGCACGTCCACTATCCAACTGGATACCTATCACCTATCCCGTACCCGCCTATACTCGCTTATACTCGTCTAGTAGCAACCTCACAGATTACATAAACAACAAAATATAAAACAAACTCATCCATTAAGAAACATAATAAAATAAAGGTTTGTATGATAAATAAATATATAAAGTATATTTTATTTTTCATTTAAGTACTTAAAGTATTATTTGGTCAAAATAAACACCTAAAATTATCTTTTTAGTCAAAATAGGTACATAACTATTCAAACTTTTTCATTTAAGTTCTAAAAAAATTAACATGTGGTATTAATTAAAGAATATTTTAGGTACTTGACTGGAAAAAATTGAATACTTTTAAGTACCTATTTTGACAAAAAAAATACTTTAGATACATATTTTGATAAAAAAGATAATTTTAAATACTTATTTTGACTAAAAATACTTTAGCTACTTGAATGAAAAAGGTTGTATGCTTCAAGTATTTATTTTCTATATAAGTCTAAAATAAGCCAATGATTAATTCACTTTATGCCCTAACATTAGTTAAATTACAACGTTATTGTTACCTTATTATTACGCATTTCGATGAGCAAAAGCTGTCATGATCAATTATTTTTGTCAAAAATTAAGGTTTAGGTATTTTCTGGTTATGTTTGTAGCCAACGTTGGCTATGAAGATGTTATGGTTAAAAGACATTTCTTTATTATTGCACACATAGAAGAAAGCTTGAGGCACTTTATAATGTCGGGGCAATGATGCCAAATCCACAAGATCCAGAGCGCTTTAGTTTCTGGGTACAGTTAACTTTTTCGCCCATATGTAGCTAATGTTTTCTGTTCAAATTATTTTTCTGGTCCCTTTACTATGTTTAAATTTGACATTTAGTCTATATACTTTTATAACCTTATCATAAGGACTCAAACTTGAGATTTTATTTAAGTGATATCAAATTACTTACCACTTGAATAAATTTCGTTAGTGAAAAAGGGTGTTATTATTAATACACTTTCGTATTAGTCATATTATTCCCTCAAAAAATATCACACTTTATTCACTCTTAATGTATGTACAAAAATTTGACATTCTAAATCTAATCCTAATTTCACCTGAGGGGATTAGAATTCATGACCTAAAGAAATATAAGGAAACAAAAATGAATGGCTTAGTTAACCGATCAAATAAGACTTTCTATATGAATATTTTTAATTAAAAACATAATTGGTTAATAAAGTATACTATCACGTTACTTTTTAATAATTTATTTTATATTTTTTCTTTTTTTTACCTAAATACATAATTGAAAATCATTGACATGCCTTAACCCAACATTCACAGGAGGTTTAATCATGATTGATCTTCAGTATCAATAAATAATTGAATAAGTTGTTTGAGATTAACATTGATCAAATTAGAGTATAGGGATTAAGTTTACAGCTTATATATAATACAGGGACTAATATAAGAATTTGAACTTATAGGGACGTGCAATGCTTCAACTACCGCTTGTTGTTTAAACCTAATCAAACTCATTTCCTGAATAATTCTTCATTCCTTGAATGTACGTTCATCATTTCAAATTCTCTTATTTTTGCATGTACAATTTTATGTATAAAAACCTGAAATCCATTCACTTTTCATCAATCTCACTTTCTCAAGTCTGACCAGACAAAGATATGTAAATTCTGTTTTCTAACTACAAATTTCCATTCTTCTTCCCTCACGGGTCAACGTAAAAAGATATTCTTCAGCGCCAACGGCGGTGGCTTATACACAACCAACAACGCCGCCGGTGACGGAAGAAGCCGAATGCTGCGTGGCCGTCAGTTCAACAAGACCTTCAACCACATTAAAATCACATTCTTTTGCGGCTTCATTACCATCCTCGTACTTCGCGGCACCATTGGCATCGGCGGTTTGGGAAGCTCCCAAGTCGAAGCTAACATCAACCAAAACCTTATAGAAGAAACCAACCGGATCATCGCCGATATCCGCTCGGATTCCGACCCGGACGAACCTCCGGAGACTGAGACAGACCATAATATCACCTTCTCCCTTGGCCCCAAAGTTTCAAACTGGGATCAACAGCCACAGATTTGGCTTTCCCGGAATCTGGGATTCCCAAAGTTCATTAATGGAGAAGCTCGGATCATGCTGGTTACTGGTTCGGCGCCAAACCCGTGTGATAACGCCATTGGAGACCACTTACTTGCCGAAGGCGGTAAAGAACAAGATCGATTACTGTCGGCTTCATGGGATGGAAATTGTCTGTAACATGGCTCATTTAGATAAACAACTCTCCTGGTATTGGTCCAAGCTACCATTGATAAGGAAGTTAATGTTATCTCACCCTGAAGTTGAGTGGATTTGGCGGCTCGACAGTGATGCTTTCTTCACAGACATGGCCCTATAAATCCCGTTTTCCAAATACGAAAACCATAATTTGATCATCCATGGAGAACCGGATTTGATGGAGAAGAAATCATGGGTTGCTTTGAATACAGGGAGTTTCCTATTAAGGATCCGTCAATGGTCGCTGGATTTGCTGGATTCATGGGCGCCAATGGGACCAAAGGGTAAAATCCGTGAGAAGGCCGGTAAAGTTATGACGGCGAGTTTGAAAGGAAGACCGGCGTTTGAAGCCGACGATCAATCGGCATTGATTCACTTGTTGATTTAACAAAAGGAGCAATGGATGGATAAAGTTTTCATTGAGAATCAATATTATTTGCATGAGTACTGGGTGGGGTTGGTCGACTGGTCCGAGGAGATGATGGAGAAGCACCGGCCGGGGCTGGGGCACGAACGGTGGCCGTTTGTGACGCATTTCGTGGGGTGTAAGCCTTGTGGGAGTTATGGGGATTATCCGGTGGAGAAATGCTTGAGAAGCATGCAAAGAGCTTTTAATTTTGGGGATAATCAGGTGATTGAAATGTATGGGTTTCGACATAAAGGGTTGTTAAGCCCTAATGTTAAGAGGATTAGGAATGAGACGGTGACGCCATTGGAGATCCTTCATAAGCTTCATAGAGCTACTAACTAACCTGGGAAATATCACATATTTGTAAAGATGACGATAACAAAAGGTTGGGTCAAATTACATGAATAGTCCATGTGCTTTACTTAGATTTCGAAATTAATTCTTATATTTAATTTAAATGATTTTTTTGACAAATTTTAAATCTAATCTTACTTGGAAGGGTGAAGAATGAGAATACTCCGGGTGAATCAAAAACCTATAACTTAAGGAAATACAAGAGAACAAAGATGAACAACTTAATCAACCGATCAAATATACTTATTCATTTAAGTAGTTTCATCTTGTACTAAATGGATTTAAAAAAAATTATCTTGTGTAATTAACATATTCAAAGCATAACTGTTCATTTGACTGCGCTAGCATGTTATATCTAATATTATCGTACATATATATATCAATATCATTTAAATAAAATATTCTTATCAGTTAAACTTAAATTCGTGTTCAAACACGACGTATCAAACAGATATGGATCGAATAGACAGATAAAAGCAACCTCTTCAAACAGAGATGGATCGAAAAGACTGCTGAAAACAATATTACCTTTGACATAAAATCTCACAATCGTCTCTGATATCATCCCATAATCTCATATTCTCTTCTCCACTTGGATTTCCAAGCTCAGCGATTATACCTAGCTTAGCTGCTTTACATTAAATTTAAGCAACCCTATGAGATTTGCTCGACTCTGAGGTGTCATAAGACACCCAAAATGCAGATTCTTTAATACACTTACAATTGAAACATAAAAACAAAATGAGCAGAAATGTAAGTGTAGAACTGAAACATAAAATAATCTTAACCGAGTAGCACCGAAGGTTGAGGAGTAGATACATGCAACTGTCATTCCATAGGATTTGATTACATTCTTCATTACACAAACTTCCTTAAAACAAAAAGGACGCCAATACTTTAATTGTTTAAATTTGAACCATGGAAAACAATACAACTACTATGTTTGATCTCCATTTACATGCACTCCACAGGGCACTGGTTCCGAAGGAAGCACGTCCAACGCTTTGATCCGGCCGCTTTTCACCTGGTTCCGAAGCAAGAACATTTGCTCTGATCTGTGGTCCTTGCTCTTCTTCGGTAAGGACTTCTTTCAATGGAACACTACTTCTCCTTCTTCCACAGAGGTACACAAATATAATAAAATAAAATAAAGAAGATGCTCCATGAATATAAAGTGAATATCAACAATCATAACGTATCATCTTCCGGAGAAGACTCCCTCAATACCTCCTCATTGTCTTCTTCATCCTCGTCGTAATCAGCACAAGCAGGTTCCCCATTAAGATCAACAGTTATACCATTAGATTTCCTCACAAACTGCCCCCTCAATCGCGGCCTGCTCTCGGCTAGCTTTTTTCTATTTACATATCGAATCTTCTTATCGAAACAGCGCTCTTTCCTTTTCTGCCTAAATTTGACTAATGCTGCCTCTCTTCTGTCAACCTTACTTGGTTTCACTTCACTGGAAGATGAGTTTCCCACTGATGGCCACGAGTGACCTGTCGGCACCGGACCAGGTTGCATGCACATGTTAACCGGATAGTACGGAAACGGTGCCATCCCACTAGCATGTGGATGGGAATGACAATGTTGAAGGTGATTATATTGAGGTAGCACACCGAAACTTGCGTGATTTTGAAGTTCAAGGAGGCTGTTCTGAAACAATTGGGCCGATTGTGACATCATAACTTGATTCATAGCTCCCGACATATAGTATGAATAAGCATTTTGTGTTGGTAGACCAGATACATCATGTCGAGGTTCATTTCTTGGTGGCACAAGTTCCTGAAGAAACTTGTCTTCCCTAAAACTCTTTTGTTGTGAGAACTCAATTGATGCAGACCTTTCTAAGGAAAGTGAATCCGGAACACTGCTGCTGCTTCGAAAGTCATCGCCTTGTGAACAGTTTTCCCATGCTTCACCGTTCTCGTGTACTTGGGTACCATTAACCACTTGTTGACCGGATTGTGGAAGATTCGCTCCAAAGATCTTATTCTGAGCAGCATTTTCGCCATTAAGGATGGCCGCTTGAGAGCTGCTTTTTACTGCAGGTGACTTTACATAAATAAAGAAGGCTGACGACTCACCAATCTTTAGCTCACTCTTCTTTGGACCACATGCAAGTTGCCCTGCAAAAGATTACCAACATTAGGACATCTACTGAATAAGGGAATCAATGATTGAAAAAGTTTGGAAACCAGAAAAGAATCACAGCAGTAGTTTTCTGGTATTCCCATGTTATTACATGCAGGGATCAACCTAGGCGAAGGCAGTCACCCTAAAAATTTAAAATTACCATATATTTTAGATTTTTTTCTATGTATTTTCTATTGAAAATATGTTTTCGCCCCCTAGAATTTTATAAGTTCAAGTTTGCCCCTTGAAATTTTATAAGTTCATGTTCACCCCAACATAAAAATCCTGTGTCCATCCCTGATTACATGATAACTAGTGCTTGCATTATAAAGAATAAGAGATAAGTAAGAGACAGACTTGCATAAAGTCCCAGTTCTCAGCACACAAACTAGTATGCAATTAATCCTATGCAAAGCAACTCATTTTTGTGGTATTGGAAACTAAACAGAAATGTTATGGAGACAGATATCTAGCCTTCAAAGAAACATTAAATCCAGTGTCAAGACCTTGAAGAATTTCATATACATCTCATTTAATAAAGATCGCCAATTTTGACAAATTGGTGACGTAAAACATTCTCTGACTCAATTAATGGTAGAACAAAGCAATATCCCATGCATTCAAAAATTAAACGCTATACTGAAGACTAACGTTTTCCAAAGAATATGAAAATAGAAGGCAAAATTATACATCACTCCATTCCTTAAAATATCACATGCATCAATAGAAGAGCAGTCCACCTGTTCTCCGATCACTTATTCCTGGAACACCAGGACGACATTCAGATGAATCATTCTGTGGAGGCTCCACAGTAGCAGCAGCGAACTGAAAGACAAAAACACTTATTTGAACACGAACAACAAATTTCACTCTTTATACCAATGTTTGCCATATATTTGTAAAACCAAGTAAAGATTGTGAAATTACGACATGCACAAGTGTCAATATATATTACACACATTCATATACAACTTGCCTAACATGCCTAAGATTTTTTGGTTGGGGTTAATTTTTTACCCTTGTTTCGTCCATGCCTACAATTCCAAATTCTGCAAAGTAAATATTTATGACCATGGCTGCAAACTACCTGGATAATTGGTTCCACAGATAACAGATTCCATTTCAGGAGTATAAAATCACCTACTAAAAAATCTCATCACAAGAAGCAGTGGAGATTAACTGCAACAATATTAACGGGAAGACAATAACAATAGACACTTATTAAATCACATATCTTATAACCAGCAGCCATTTCCTAAAGTAGAAGTTAATGATCTCGGGATGCACATTAAACATGCTTTTTCCCTAATTTTAAAAGCACACAAATACGTATTTTGTTATCCAACTTCAATACTCACCTCTTCTTCCTGGTGGATAGGACCTCCCATCTCTGGATTGGTGCTCTTCCGGGACCTGTCAGCTGTGTCATCCGAGAACAGAGTGGTACTGTTTGTATTAGCATCACTAGGATCTGATGCCACCAGATCAAAGTCATAGTTCAAGATGTTCCTTTCTGCCAGACCAAGCTGCCAGAGAAAACATTTCAAATGAATATAAAAATAAGTTTCCGTTAAACATCCATACATGTCAAGTTCTGAAGGAATGTAAGTTAATGGTTTTTTTAGCTCTTTCTATATTTTTTACCCTAATTGTACTCTTATAGGCATAAACAGCAACGGAACTATTTTTACAATAGGGAGGAACCAAGTACAGCCCAGAAGAAAGTACAACTGAAACTAACTAGTAAAAGAAAACTGCTAAATAACACAAACCTCGCGCCGCCTTCTCCACATATGTGTCCACAAATTCAACAATTCATTGGTTCGTAATGGCTTGACAAGATAATCAGCAGCACCAAGCCTTAAACACTTAACAACAATAGAGACCTCATCCTGGGCCGACATCACTTATCATAGAAAGGAAAGAAAAATGCAATGATCAGACCACAAACACCTGAAGGAAAATTCAAAACAAAGAAAGTCAAACAGCTGAAGAAAAGAAGGTTAAAGGCAAACTTACTAATAACAGGAATCCGACGCAGTTCTTTATTCCGCATAATATACTTCAACAACTTCATTCCTTTTGACATTGGGAGGTCAACTTCAGCAAGTATGATATCAATTTCAGCTCCCTCGGCATTCAATGCATCAATAACTTGTCTAGCAGACCTTACTGAAATCACTGCAAATAAAAGGCAACACAGAATCATGAAGCTGATTTCTCTTCTAGAAGAAGCATATGGGAAGTGTCATCTATCATGAAACTATAGGGCACTCTTAGTGGAACTTAAGGATAGAAGTAGTACAAAAAGTAGCAGCAGCCTAAATAAGTGACACAATGAACATACTATGTTATACATGTCGAATTACACATAAGTCCTCATTTCCTGTATTACACTTTATCAGGTGTTTCCTTAGAGGAGAGTTCATTTCTTATCTTTCTTTCCTTTATTACCCACATCTTACTATAACTTCTCACTTTGGCCACGGTTCTCGGTTACAAGGAAAAGCATGAGAGTCAAAGGAACTAGAAGACAAATAGGCATGGCAAATTCATGTATAGCTAACATACCCTTTTTACCAAGTTCCCTAAAAGAGTAGCACTAGAGGGGGCAAAGCAAATCAAGTCAAAAGACTATGATTCAGTAACCAAAAGTAGAATAATCGGGAAATAAAAAGCATTATGGAAGAGAGTAATATATATCTGAGCATTCCTAGTAATGTTCTATACATGTTACAGCCTTACAAGTTACAAAGTCTTGTTTTTTCACACAAGAAAAGGGTAAGCTATTTTGTAGTTATTTATTTTTATCGAACTATAATAGTGAGTTTGCAACTAAAAAAACCAACCAGTTCCATCAACAATCATGGCATCAACTCACTTATCATCCTTTTACTTCATCAAGCATCTAAATCACACAAATCAAACAAAACCAAACAACATATGAAATTAACACAAAAGACAAAAATTAACAAACACTTTGAAAAGGAAATAAAATAGCTTAGAACTCCATAATAATGAAAAAGGAAAATTAACAAAAAGTGAAGTATACCCTGATAAGAACATCTCAAAAGAAGAAAAAAAACCTCTTCACAACTCTTGGTATCATTATCACATAGCAAAATCCTCACTTTGCTCCTGTCTGTAAACCCATCTCCCATTCCTCCTTTACTCTCCTTACTAAAATTCGACTCTTTGCTCTCCATATTCACACACCCCAAAAAAAACTTTTATAAACTATAAAAGGAAAACAAAAGAAAGCCCATAAAAGTCGTCCAATTTTCCTGATTACTACCCGTCCGTACACCCAGGCTAATAAAAGACTAAGCTTGATTGTTCATCTAAGCCGCTGTATCTTTTTCCACACAGTTAAAAGAAATGGATCAGACTTTCTACAAAAGGCAAAAGCTCAAGTGGACCCAATCGGACTGCAACGATCGATGGTGGGATGAACCATGAACGGCTAGGATTTCAACTCCCCCAAGGAACTAACCCCCGCGTTAAAACAACACGCCCAAACTGGAAGTGGAGATTTCCTAATCCTGATTTCTGGTAAAAGGCAAGTGTCGTTTTTTTTATTTGTTTTCGGAGGTAGACGGGGATAGTGAGGGTGACTAACGTGCGGTGGATTGGGGAGATGGATTTGGGGCGTTGGATGGAAGGAGGAAGGGGGTGCGTAGTGCGCGTTGCGGAGTAGGATAGAGAGATTGACGATGTGGCAAAAAGGAGGGGACAAGTGGAGGAGAAAAGAAAAAGCGAAGGGCTTTTGGATAGTTTGGTAGAGATAGAGAAAAGACCACGTCTCCTTCAGATCTTTACTTATTTAATCATTTCATAATAATACAAATCCGATCATCTTTGTTCCAAATATGTTCACTTTTGTATATCCAATTTAATAAAGTTACATTTCAATCACTTATGTATTATATTTTAATCATTGAATACACAGATATTGAGAACATACTTATATGGTTACTGCTCGTTTAGGCATTGTTTTGCACGTAATTCGCAGAACAATAAGTAGTCTTTATTCTCTCTCTCTTGTTTATGGTGTAGCAATAGGTAAGCGTTGCTTAAGGAGTGCCAGCATACGTTTCACGTCGATAACGGCGACTACAAGTGATCCATTGTGGAACAATAATTTGTATGCAGAATGAGTTATGTTTTTTCTTTTTTTGACAAAGTTATTTGTGTTCAACATTTATGTATGAAATCTACAGATGAATCATTTTAATCCTAAGAAACACCTAGTATGTTTCAAACCAAGCAATTCAGAATCAGATACGATAGTGATATTTCGCTTCTTAAATGACAATCTCATGCATATTATCTGCAAAAAGGGAAGACATTCATACCAAATTATACAAGAGAACTTACAAAAGCTTGTTGTTGGGTCTTTAATTTTGAGTCTTTGTTTTGCTCGAGTACCCGAGTCCAAATACATGGAAAAACTTGAAAAGGAGAAAAACAAAGTTGAATACACCGGTATTGAACTTGTATCCGACACCCCCGAGTCTGAGTAAAATATGTTCTAGGCATGCTTTGACACTTCTTAATGTATAATCAAGCAAAATTCTATCAAGTTTTAGGGTATCATTCATTGCAATGCAGATACAGATATCACACGTTGGAGCCAAGCAGACCATAAATCACACAGCCACTGCTTCTGCTCTTTTGCTGGTTTTGATTCCTCTAATAGCTGTTAAATTGTTCTTGCCACAAGAATTCTTTAAAATCTCTTCCAATTACATGCACAGAAAATAATACTAATAAATAATTCCCCCATTCATACCTTCTGCATAATCTTTGGCTCCAAACACAGCTGAACCAGCAACTAAAGCGTTAGCTCCAGCCTCAATAACCTGCCAGCAATGGATAACAATTCAATTTATATTTCATAAACAGATATCGTCAACTTCGGTACCGAGTTAAGCATTGAAGCCCGCATCAGAAACCAAAGTCCGGTACCCTCTAACCCTTTCCTCCTCTAAAGGATGTCATGACACCAAGGGACATCAACAAATCTGTTTCTGGTACTCACACCCAAATTCGAGTAACATAGGTATAGAGTGTATAAATGCATGTTGTCTGAAAGGAAAACCATGTGGCTCTAATGGGGTACCTTATATGCATTTTTAGGACCAACTCCACCATCCACTTCAATCCATGGGTTTACTCCCTGCATAGGAAATATAAAATGAAATGCCACTAGACCTTAAAGCACAAAAACATTAGATGATACCTACAGGCTACAGAGATGGGAGCTATTTATACCTTCTCTGCACACATTCTTCTCAAGTCCGAGATTTTCTTGACTTGACTCTCGATAAAGCTCTGCCCACCGAACCCAGGGTTGACCGACATAATCAAGACAAGATCAACCACTGTCCAAACACAAATGAGAGGTTATCATATCAATTTCCTTCTATTTAGCCAATGAACTCCTAAAATCTTTAGATGTTAGAACAATGCAGTGACGGATCTGCATAATTGTTGATTGTTGTGGTGTTGTAACACAAGCAGGCCTTGAAGTCTACATTATGAGTTGATTAAATTCTGATATTATTCCACTGGCAGTGTTCAGATGATGTCAAGTGTATTAAATAATAATCCTACATCTTTTACTCCAAGTTTCCTATAGGCAGTGCCCGGTTTAGATTCGCCATTTGGCTCTGGTAGGAAATAGGCCATGTAGGAATCTTCCTTTGACAAAATGAAAAGAATTTGCAGAAAGAAATAGAAAGATAAAAAAACAAAACAAAAAACTCACCGTCAAGTACATATTCTATTGTACTAAGTGGGGTTGCAGGGTTTAGGACAACTCCAGCTTTGGCACCCAGATCTTTTATCTATACAACAAGATAATTTTAAGGTACGAGTGGGGGTGGAAAACTTAATACTCAAAAAGCTGTAACACCGAAAATAGGGTGCGAAAACAGAACAGAAATTGTGCAGCCATTGCAAACGTCCTGATCATGCATCAATGCATAATTCTTTTATCATGTGTTTGAAGAATAGCTAGGACATAAGTTCAAAACATGAACTAGCTTGATAGGATGAATTCTACGAAATCATACAAGTTCCTAAGTGATTCCAAACATTCCTGTATCAGCGTATGATGTGGCATAAAGTGCAGATATACCATAAAAGATTGGTTGCGCAAAAATTTATTCGATGCTGGTTTTCAACCTAAAGCAGGCATCCATGTAGTGATTCTAAAATTAATCCAGATGACGGCATCCACATGAAACCGCACATTAGAAAACAAGGCTTACTTTTCTAGTCTATCTGACCTTATTTCTATGAATGCAATCGAGTTTGGGCTTTACTTGATTTGAATATAATATTTGATAGACTTCATTCACATCTTGTATGTATCAATAGTAGGGTGTGATAAGCTGCTGTTACCTCATTTTTATTGCGGAATATATAGGAGAAAGGCTCAGATAAAGAAAAATCTAACTTGATTAAGTGTACGATGCAAATGGATGGTTGAAGATTGTTCGCAATGAACACTAACGATGTCTGCTCCAGCCTTGATAAAATCTGGAACTCGTTGCTCAGGTTCCACAATCATCTGCAATGCATCCATATGAGGTTAGCAAATAAATAATACTGGCTGCTTAATGATAAGATATGCAAAAAAATAAAAAAATAAGCATACCAAATGCACATCGAGCGGAAGATCCGTTACAGGTCGTAAAGCATCAACCAAGAGAGGTCCAATTGTAATGTTTGGAACAAATCGACCATCCATGACATCAACATGGATCCAATCGCAGCCTGCCACTTCTACTGCTTTTACCTAGAAAATCACAAAAGTCAAACTTCAGAAGCTAGCTCCAAACTGAGTTCAAAATGTCATGGAGTTAATGCAAGAGAAGAGCAGCTAACATAGGGCATAGCTAACATGTTTACTATTGACATTGGCATAAAGTCAAATACCCAAACGGTAATGCAGACCATCCATTGTCTTTGTTCCAGAAACATGTTGCATATTTGAATGTTATAATTTACAAGAAAATCAATAGTAAAATAATAATAATAACGAACCTGCTCCCCCAGCTTTGCGAAATTAGCAGAGAGAATAGATGGAGAAACAATGATATCACTTTTAGAGAATTTATCGACTCGAGCTGTTGCCTTCACTGTAGAAACTCTCCTCCTAACAATTTCAGACACAAAGATATGTAATAGCATATTAAAACATTGTATGAGACCTGGAAAAAGAAAAACTCAAATCTGATCAAAAGTATACATTTATTGAATTTCTTATCAAATAATGTCTAACCCTATTATGTACAAAGACAAACACAATGTAATTATAACACCAGAGGTACAAGATATATTCCGAAATAGAAGAAACATAATTTCTAAAAAAATGACAATAGCCTTAAGATTTTGCTAAAAGTTCAGATTGTTTAAACTAAGAAAGACATTTTAAACATACTCCCCTCACTAAGAACAATGAGAGCAGAACTACTGTCCCTGTAAACCAATTGATGCATTCTAAATCGTTGGTAAATGGGCATTAAATGTTACTGCTAAGAACTTTAACCGTATCTGCTACTTATATCAAATAAATATGACACCAGCGCCTGCATTCTATCTGAAATAATCGAGGGAAAGGCGTAAACTTTTGAAAAATGTGCTAAAAGTTTAAAACTTTCAATGCAATTTTTGAGCGCAAGAACAAGGTGAAAAACTGAAAATAAATCAACAATCTCGCTCCTAAGTAAACACCAACCATACAAATTAACTTTCACCAACTTGCATATTCAGATTTCTTATATCAAACATCAAGAAATTTCAACAACTCTGAACTGGATTTTATTTCCAACACCCATAAATTTGCCTCTTTTTGCCATCTAAAACTATAATGAAAACAAAAAAGCTAAAAAGAATCCAAGAAAAAGAATGCAATAAAATAAAGAATAATACCTCGTGAAAGTAAGGGTCTTGGGTTGAGAAACATGGGACCTTAGAATCCCGAGTCCCCCTCCAAAGCCATTAATCTGGGTTGAAGAGCACAGTGAGGAAGCTGTCGACATCTTTTGCCTTATATTTTTCCTCTCTTATGTTTTGTATCTACAAAGGGGGAGTTGGTGGTGGTGGTTTGGTAGTGAAAGCTTTTAATGTTAAAAACTCACAACCAACAACAACAGCAACAGCAAGGCAAGCAAACAGCAGCAAAGACTTGGAAAGAAATCTGGAAAAAACAAATTAGGAATGGATTCATGTAATGATGACACGTGTGGTGCTGATTTGTGGTTATCTTCAACGGTTGGCTGACGTTCCATAATGGTGAGTTATGGTGTTTCGCTGGGGGATTAGGCCACCTTCTGATTTGCGTTGCAACTTCAAATAAAGGCTGTAACTTTAGCCATTTGTTCCTTTGGCCATTCATATTCAACCATAAGCGGAGTGTTAAAAGTGTTGGAATGAGAGAAATTTATAATAATATATATTATCAAAATAAACACAAGGTCAAATTCGGATAGGTCTATGTATTGTATTAATATAGTTGTGGTAGTGGTTGTTCTTATATTATTTTAGTTTTTTTTCGTAATGGTTCAAAAACAAATACTAAATAATTAATTGTTCTCCATTTCAACCTAAATTCTTTAAAAGACTCTCTCATGTTTTTATTATTTTTGGGTAAAATTTAATTTTATCATACCAGAGTTCATAGGTTAACGTTAAGCTTAGACAACCATCAATTTTTAACGAAAAAATAAGTTTAAAAAATATGAATAGTTAGGTGACCATTTTGTAACTTCTAATAGTTAGAGCAGAGGCGGACTCAGGAGCCTTCGTCAGGGGTTGCAAGAGCCCCAAAGGTGGCACTTTTGAGGGTTAACACTTGGATTAGGGGTGACACTTGTGGAGGGGTTGCTTGGGATACCCCGGGCACCATGGAGGTCCACCCCTGGATGAGGGGTTGCCCGGGATACCGAGCTCCATGGAGGTCCGCCCCTGAGTTAGAGGACTCAGTAAAATAATATCTTATAATCAAGAAATTATTTTGTAACCTTTAATAATCGAGAAAACTTAACAAAATAATATCTTATAATCAAAATACCATATAATTTATCTTTATTTTTAATATTTTATATTAATACATCCCATATTTGGCTTGTTTCTTACTTTCATTTATTGTTATTTTTTATTATAATCTTGGGTGAAACGTGTCATATTTATTTAACTGTTAGTAAGACTTCAAATAGATATATATATATATATATATATATATATATATCTCAATTATTATATCAATTATTTAATTATTACATTAAAGTTAAAATAGACATATGTTTTAAATTAAAACCAAATCATTTTATAGCAATAAGATCACTCAATTATAACTAAAAATTAATATAAATTACATATTTAACAATAGAATGAGTTATTTATAACAATTGATTAATTAAATATTTTTATAATTTTTAAAAATCTAATGATCCATTTGTAATTTTAGTACTAATCTAGTGATATGTGGTGTTTTTACCCTTTTAGAGACAAACGACAGCGTATCCTGGATATATGTAATATAGACATATGAGGATACGATGATGGTTGATGACAGAGGACAGAGTCCAAGACAGAGATCCATTGCCGCAAATTCATGTAAAAAAAAACTTAAGGCGCCAGTCAGTCAGTCCCAGTCACCGACAGATTTTGGTGAAAAAAAAAAACATATTTATCGCGATTCTTGTCTCAAGATCTCTCTAAAGTCTAATCTATACCCCTCCGTATCCGATCCCTACCCTGCCTCCTTCGCCTCGTTCTTGAAAGATCAACAAGAAAGGAAATGCTGGCTGACTTCCATGAGGTTTATGGGTTTCGTTGTGCTGGCTTTAATGCTTGTTTCTGTTGTTTTCTTGGTCTCGGCGGTGCTCCATGACCCACCCAGCGATGGGGGTTTGGAATCTGATTAAGATGTTAGTTTTCTTGATGCTTTGGAATCGAGTAATGAGCAACAAGTCAAACAGCACAAAGGTAACTAAAAAGTTTTTCTTTGGCTTAAAGTAAGGATTTTTATTTCTGAATCATTTTTATGGATTGGTTGTTAGCTTACTTGTTTATGACTAAAATGGTAGGCTACTTGAACTGAATGATTGAGTTGCTTAATCTCATCCTAGCTGTTGGATCTATGTCTCTACTGTTAATAAGGCTGAAATTCTAGATCCAATGTAAACTCATGTTTTGAACATGGATTATGTCCTTTAGATTTACTTTACCTGGTATTGTTGCCACATTGTATTTTCCATTGCGAAGCAAGGTACCAACCAAGCTCAAGTTCCCCTCTATATCAGTTTGTCTCACACAATAGGGCTGATTGTCGTGCCAAATTGCGTGAGTGTTGTGTAGTTTGCTTTAACATTTTGTTATTTCCATGCTTTTATCTATTGATTCTTTTGTTTTAAGTATGAATCTGTTGTTTTGCTGCCCTTTTTCGTGGGTTGAAATTTTCAGATTTCAGTACACATTTCAAGGGCACTATGTTCTTTTGCTGCTTTAATTTTGAGTGCACAATGGGAGTAGTGGGTTCGAATTCGAACCTTAATTCTCTCAACTTCCTTACTTTCTCAACCCAACTGATTGTCTATATAATTGTTCTTAGTCTTTCAATGTAAAGTCCACTACTTTGTTTTGTAATTTGCATCGACTATGGAAGTTACCCTAACTCCAACTCATTTCTTGGTTAACTTATGGCCTGAGAATAGATGCATTGCAATTGCTTCCATATGAATCATGGCCCTCCTCTGTTCTCACCTATTTCTTTTATTTGCTCAAATTTCGATAGCTGTTTTCTTAAATGTATTTGAATGATCTTTGTTCTCCCCCTTTTCAGTCGGAGGTCCAGTTGATGATATGCTCCGCCTGTTGAGGTGCCCAAGGATAAACTGCAAGGTGGACTTCTTGCAGCTAGATTTGATGAAACATCTTGTGCCAGCAGGTATCAATCGGTTTTATACCGCAAAGAATCACTACATAAAGCTTCACCTTATCTAATCTCAAAGTTACGGAGTTACGAAGCTCTTCATAAACAATGTGGGCCATATACCGAATCATATAACAAAACTTTGGAAAAGCTCAAGACTGGACATCACCTTGAATCTACAGATTGTAATTATTTGGTGTGGATTTCCTTTAGTTGGTTAGGAAATAGGATACTGACCCTAGCCTCGGCATTTCTCTAAGCACTCATTACAAATCGTGTCCTCCTCGTCGACCCTGGAACCGATATGGTTGATCTTTTTTGTGAACCGTTTCCGGAGGTCTCCTGGTTTCTCCCTCCATATTTTCCCCTGCCAAGTCAATTTGGCAGCTTCGATCAGAAATCACCTCATTGTTATGGAAAAATGTTAAAGAATAGCACTTTTGCTAATTCAGGAAGGTCTATATCGTCATCTTTCGTATATCTCCATCTGGTACATGATTATGATGATCAAGATAAGCTCTTTTTCTGTGATGAAGACCAAACTTCTCTTCTGGAAGTGCCGTGGTTGATCATGAAATCAGATAACTACTTTGTCCCATCTCTCTTTTTGATCCCCACTTTCGAGCAGGAACTCGGTAATCTCTTCCCGAGAAAAGAAACGGTTTTCCACTTCTTGGGCCGATATCTCTTCCACCCTACAAATCAGGTTTGGGGACTTATAACCCGATCTTATCAAGTTTATTTAGCTAAAGCAGATGAAAGGATAGGCATCCAGATCAGAGTATTTGACACTGGGACCGGTCCATTCGAACATGTTTTTGATCAGATAATTGCTTGTGCCTTGAAGAAGAATCTGCTGCCCGAGATCTTCATGGAAAAGCCGATAACCAATCAATCTCAGAAGTCTAAAGCTGTGCTGGTTACATCTTTGAGTGCGGGTTACTTTGAGAGATTAAGGGACATGTACTGGGAACATCCGACCGCGACTGGGGAGATCATCGGATTTTACCAACCGAGCCATGAAGAGCATCAGCAAACGGAGAGGCGGTTTCACAAACGGAAAGCACGGGCTGAAATGTATTTATTGAGCTTGACGGATGTGCTTGCAACGATTGTTGCTCAAAGCCTTGGAGGATTGAAGCCATGGATGCTGTACAAGCCGGAGAACCAGACGGCCCCAGTTCCGCCTTGTCGTCGAGTCATGTCGATGGAGCCATGTTTCCATGCTTCGCCCTTTTATGATTGTAAAACCAAAAGAGGCATGGACACAGGTGCAGTGGTTCCTCATGTAAGGCACTGTGAAGACATGAGTTGGGGTCTTAGAAAGTGAGTTATAAGCATAGTTTTGCTCAGTTTTTTTGTTGTAGAAAGTAATATTAAATCAAATGTCCCTTAAGTTTGCAACATTTTTGTGCTAATTGGTTCAATGGTTGGGTTATGCAAGAGTTGGATCTTAGACAAGGATTTCAACAAATTTGAGATCAAGTGCTATATAATTATAATTTTTTATTTAAATTTATTATAAGATTATATAGATATTATCTATATGCATTAATACATGTGTGTGTGCATGCGCACTTACCCCAAACAAAATTGGTGTATGAAGCCAGACTTGAACCAATTCAACATCAAAAACCAGCCACGAATTTGGTGGAATATTCTCACTTGTTCCTTCATTTGTATAGGCCTGCAACATAAACCCCAAACAAAATTTGAGACAGGGAAACGAGCTCGGAGTAGTGTTTAACAAACTGAATCACATACAGCACTGATGGTGGAACAGTCAGTCTTCGTTTGCCGCACGCCTAGGAATCATGTTCCTTTAAACTCGCTAGATATATTATTCAAACGGCGGAGGCGATCAATACATTCAATAGGGATGGGTTGGCGATAAGCAACTTTGAAACGAAGTTCATACCATCACGGCCAACGTTCCATAGCTCTTGAACTTTTCCCATATATTTGCAAACAATATCATTTCAAACAAATGCCTTTTCACCAACAGAAGCTACTTTCCCATCTCCATAGCATCCCCGGCCCTCCACCTTAACCTCTTCTTCTTTTTCCTCGTCTTAGAATGACTTTAAGAAACTTCACAGAGTTAAAACTCCAAAAAACAGAAAGCGAAAATGATTGGAACAAGATAACAGTGTCATGAGGCAGCGAATCCAACTAGAGTAAAAGAGAAATATCATAAATCAGCGATGATTAATGAAGCAAACAACCATATGTTATGCAGATGATAGTGCCATCCACAGATCCTCTTTTCAAGATGGTTAGCTTAGCTGTTGCATTGAATTCCACTAATGTTTGATTGGCGCTTATCTGTTTTTATAATCTTAAATGCAGCTTCCAATGATGTTGGTCTCGTTTGCTCAACCATCCAGTGGGGATCATTAATGCTTAAATCAATGCAATGGAAACCATACCAAATATTCAGTGATTAATAAATGGGTAAATTGCACGGTTACTCACTAAACTTTACTCTTTCTCCCATTTCACTCGCCGTACTTTCAAATTTTTTCAATTTACTCATTGAACTTTGTAGATTGAATTTTTTTTTGAATTCCTAAAAAGTTTTAAATTCGGAGCAAAACAAGGTCGTTTTGATTATTATAAAAAATATTTTTCCTCATTTCTTTTCACCATGTTTTCTCCCCCATTTCTCTCATTAGTTTAAACGCAGGTTTTTTCTCTCTCCATATTTTACTTCATTCAAAATTCTTATCTTGTAATCCTTCTTTAAACTCTTCTCCTCCTTAATTTTCAAATTTCGATGACTTTAGATCACAGTTCTTAATTTAATCACATCACAACCATTAATCAATGTTTTCTCCATTTGAATAATACACATGATTCTTTCTTGCATGCAAATCTTACTACTTCAAACAACCAATATGAAAAGGAAGAAATTTTCAGTGGTACCCAAATTTCACTTTCACTTTCACTTGTAAATCTATCTAGTTCAAGCATTAAGATGAAAAAAATGTTTTGAAGACAACACCCACTCTCGCCTGCAAATCTGCCCAATTCAAGCAACCAAGGTGAAAAAAAAAGGTTTCAAAGACTAATCTCATCCATATCCACTTCATAAACTTGGATCTTTTTCCTTTGTGTTTTATCAAACCGGTTTAGGAATAAATTTTAGATTTATTGAAAATATGATGTAATTTATTTATTTTTAAAAATCTGATGTAGTCGATCTGATGTGGATTTATTAATATTAAATAATTTCATGTCATGCAATTGTTTTTAAGTAAATGATCGAGTGACAAAAAAATATTTAGGGTTCAATTGTTTAACGTAAAACATTTTTTGAAAAATGTTTTTCTCACTTTTCAGTGTTTGGTTGGAAAACAACTTAGTAAATGTAAAACATTTTTCTAGTCAACAGATTTTTTTTGTATACTCTTGAAAATAACTAACGGTTTAATTTTTCGTGAGTCATTTTTTAAAATTTTCACTTCAAAGCATAAATAATCAAAATAATATTATTTTATAAATTTAATATTAATATGTTATTTTAGTATCATTTTAATAAAAATATTAATTATTAACATATTTAAAATATATTTATTAATATTTTTAATAATATAATATAATATATTATTATTATTATTACAATAATATAATCAATTATATTATAATAATATATGATACTATTATATTATTTTTTAATAATATATAATATATTAATAAAAGTTATATTATTTATTAATTTCTTAAAAATAATATTATTGAATTATTAATAGTGAAAGCTTTTATTTATGTATTTAATATTAATATAATAGTCTAATAATATTATAAAAATCCCTTAAAATATATTTATTAATAATTTTAAAATATAATATAATATTTTTATTTTTATAGATATTCAATATAATTTATCATATTTTTATTTTAATAAAATATACTATAGTTAATATTTTTATTTATCAAATTATAGAAATAATATTTTAATAATAATATTGGCATAAATAGTATTAAATAAATTATTTTAATATTTTTAAAATAATAATATTAAGTTTTTATAATAAATAATACTAATTATTATATTTTATATTTACGATAAATAATTTCTAAAAAAGTTATCAACTAGTGAAAAATGATTTACGCAACATCTTCTGAACACCATACCAGAAAATGTTTTCCATAAGATGTAATTCATTTTACGAAAAACATTTTCTAGAAAACATTTTCAGAGAAACATAGAAATCTAAAGTTTAGTGAGCAAATTAAAAAAAAAAAATTATGGTGAGTAAAATAAATAATGAAGTTCAATATTTTAAACCACAACAACAACAAAGTTGCCTTCTTTTGAAGATTATCTGATATGTTGTGCAAAACTATGAAACAAAATGGTTCATCGATTATTATGAAAGAGGGTTCATCCAAAGAGGATTAATAACTCCTCCCTTTACTTTATTTTTTGTTTAAGAAAATAAAAAAGTTACAGCTTTATTCATAAAATTCTTAATAGAATTTGATTAACTATTAATTTTTTCTTTCTATAACCTTTTATATTCTTGTTTATTTATTTATTTATTTTAAAGGAATTTGTGTTCGATTCATGTTTATTTAATTGTTTAATATCATAATATTCATTTATTTATTGTTCAATTAACATTCCCAAACACTTTCGTTTAACACTCGTTTAATATTCACAAACATATTTGTTTATATATTCATAATCGTGTTTATAAACATGTTTGTTTATTGTGCAATTAGTGTTCATTTAGCTTTGTTTTAATGTTTGTTTATCTTCATTTTTATATTCAATTTTTAATTTCATTTGCCAGCAAAAGAAAAATAATAAAAATTACACCACCACTGCCTAAACTCTTTAAAATTCATATTTTATGATATATGTATTCACTATCTTCACTTATATTTAAAATGTAAAATAATAAAACGACAAAGAGAATTGAGTATACAAATTTATTCATGAACATAAATGAACAAGTTTATCAATATATAGATATGCCTTCATATCGATTATGGAAGATCTTATCATCATATGAGATGCCCTTTTGGAGCTCAAAACGTTAATCAAGCTTCAACAAAATGCACCATCTGATCTCCGTTCTTTTAACAATCATTAGGCACAAGAGCAGTCAATAAAATCATTACTCTCAAAATTTTATTATTTTCTTCCATCACCATTGATACAAAATCTGTGAACAACACATCTTAAGAACCATGCTACTTGAAAATGCAATGACCAATCAAATTTTCTGACAAACAAATGCTGGTAAAATGCTTACTCCATATGAAGGCCGAAGTAAAGAAATTTTGAACGTCAGCATAAACCTGATAAGAATATGATTTACTTGGAACAAAGAGAACATGCTCACGAGTTTAGAGCGTAAATACAATATCCAAACATGCACTCAGCCAAAAATAGTTTATCTTCTCAAACCTGGCATCCAACATATTCCGCAAAAAGAAGATTCAACAAAACAATGAAAACATGGTCGGCAAAACCGAAAATCTGAACAATGAACAAGAAACCACAGCAGACTCAGATTCGCAGAGGTACATCAGGGCTCAGAGAGCCATTCAGTCCCGAAAGATGGTATTTTGACATTGCTATCCTCACATGCAATTCATTTTAATGAATATATTTGTATAGAATAAACCAAAATCAATAAAAAAAAATGCATATGGTCTGTCTCAGAGGTAGTGACAATTATCAGATATCATCATCATCTGATCTGATAATACGTGCATTTTGATAAATCATAGACAAACCACAGTATTTCAACTAAATGCAACCATAATTGGCATACATAAAAGGAATTTTGATAACAACATGAAAAAAAAAGATAGTGCATCAGAGAGATTCCCATTGATAGACAACTCATCATCCGTTAAAGGGTTCTGATGTCCCTGTCTGTTTTATCATCCTTGCACAAATTTATATGACAACTAAAACAGATTTTAATGGAAATTAGAAAAATTAACTGTAAAATCGAGGCTCTGAATCAGTCAGTTGTAACAAAAAAATAACATATAATATGAAAAGATGCCCTTTTCATTGAATAAACAAGCTCAAAATTAAGATTTTATAAGAAAAATCATATAAAATGCAGCTCACTCGGTAAATAAAATGCACGTTCATAAGCTAATTAAACACGAACATTCAAGCGTAGATGCAGATTCAATAACAAATTCTAAGGTTCCCTAGAACACGCAAAAGAATAAGCCTTTTTGCCTCAGATCTGAATTATTTCAAAGAGAAGAACATCTCTCGAAGTATATTTAACACCATCCCAGGCAAAAAGGAAATAGTAAGGAGGCAAAATATACATTAAAAGATCTGGCCTTTACATCAGAAAAGAAGGAAAACTCAAATCATGAGATCAACTCAAGTTAGAATGGAGGGTTTGGAGGCGCGAGTGGCTATGTAGGGTTTATGTCGGAGAGATGGATTGCAGGGAAAGTAGGGCTCGCTTGTTGTTTATATAGAGGGAGATGGTATGGAAATGGAAACATCTGGGGCATGTTTGAAGAGTAGTGGGCTGTATAATGACGTATTCAGATAAACACGCCCGTATATTTGGGTTCATTTAACACCCATATAACCCAAAAGTTCAATTTGTTCTTCAAACACACCATAAAAGTTTTTAAAATGTTTTCTTAAACCTTTTACTGAATTTTATATTTATAATTTAATGTATTTTTAATATTGTTAAATAAAAAATTAAGATCAACCATGATGAATGGATACCGCGTGTGGGGGTGTAATTTGTGACGAAGAAGGTAAACAGAACATGGATTACGTCAAATCCATAGGTTCATGCTGTGTTAGATGCCAAGTTATGGAGAATTTTAGGACTCAAATTGGCTTGAGATTTGGAACTTGCAGTAGTTTCTGTTGAAACGGATAATAGCAAAGTGCTTGCTATGTTGAGAGAGGAAGGAATCCAGTGGGGTGGCTCATCTTTGGCCACACACACTTCGAACTTGATAAAGCGAAATTGGAGGATAACTTTCAATCATATATCTCGAAGATGCAACACCGTTGCCGATGAAATAATTAAGATGGCTCGATCTGCAAATTTTGGAGTCAGACTTTCCAACAACCACCAAAGAAAATTGTTACGACTTATAACCAGGAGATCACTGCTTGCAGGCAGCATGTTAAGTAGTCTAGGGCAACAAAAAAAAACACGGTTCCTAGACTCTTGATCATCATTAGATAGCATATATCCCTGCTCAATCTGGATATCAAAAGCAACAAGTCTATCTCTTCCGGGTAGTCTATTCAAAATAATCATCCATGATATCACTGAATGTCTACGGTATTGGATTTTACACAGGAATGGATATAGTGATTTTATTGATGCCTTCTCTGCTCACATACATGACGTTTATATACAGCACAAGTATTCTAGAAGCTAGTTCTAACAGATATTGTTAATCTAACAATCATAACCGTTTTATAACAGCTTAGCAACTAAGCTTAACAATTAATATTAGCAGCTCAGCAGCACTGCCTTCTCCAAGACGCAAGCTCCACGAGTTATGAGCAGCTACCTCTAATATCTCCCTACTTTCCTTCTGATGTTTAACATTGCTGCACACAAATTTTAGTTCTGAATTCTTCAAACGTGGCCTAATACAAAGGCTTTGTGAAGCCATCAGCAGCCTGGTGCATGGCATGTACGTAGTTAACGCAAAGTTGGCCAGCTGCTACCTTTTCTCGTACAAAATGTATATCGAGTTCAATGTGTTTCGATTGAGCATGATATATCGGATTCACGCTCAAGGCCACTATGCTTGTATTATCGCACCAGACAATGGGCTTATAATTCTGTTGTACACCAAGATCATCCAAAAGAGCAGTGAGCCATGTTATATCTGCATTAGCAACTGCAACACTCTTGTATTCAGCTTCCACAGTGGATCAAGAGACTGTTTTTTGTTTCTTTGACGACCACGTAATTAAACATGGCCCTAAAAACACTCCATACCCCAAAACAGATCATCGATCATCAACGTTGGAGCCCCAATTTGCATCAGCAAAAGCAACTACATCCAAACTGGCCGCATAGGAAGAAGAAAAAACCAGACCAAAATCCAAGGTAGCAACCAAGTATCTAAGTATACGTTTAACTGCTATAAGATGCGAATCTCTAGGAGAGTTCATGAACTGAGCAACTTGCCCGACGCTGAAGGAGATGTCTGGTCTCGTATAACATATATAAAGCAGTGAACCAACAATACTACGATATTCAGTTGCATTGTTGTTGAGTTAATCGATTGACAGAATCGGCCAAGAGGGGGGTGAATTGGCAATTAAAATTTTGGTGGAAGCTTTTGCAGAAAATTGAAAGTAATTGCACAGCGATTTAGAGTGGTTCAACTTTGTCAACCAAAATCTACGTCCACTACCTTAGCTATCCGCACTAAGGATTTTCCAACAAATTCACTAATTTGTTCTTTCTTTTGAGGCCAAAGAGATAACCTTACAATACACTCAAGAATATACCCCAATTCTTGAGAACACTCTTTCCCAAAGAGAATATTACAAATTTGCAAACTTACAAGGAAATCCTCACAAGGTAGATTGTTTGCACAATTCTAGAATAAGAAAAGAACACTCCAAAATAATTACAAATGAGCACAAATGGTGTTCTTGAAAGCAAAATGAACATTGAAAGGAAAATTGGCTTGATTTGCACAAACTTGGTGTTTGATGCTTTCTCTTTTGTTTCTCTATAATTTCTTATTGATCAAAGGCTTCAGAACTTGTTTAAATACACCTTGAATCACTTCTGAACGTTGGGGATTATTAGTGGAGATAATAGAGCCGTTTTAGTGTGAAATCATTTAATAAAATAGCTTGGAGCGTGGGGGGAATCGGTACCCCCTATGGGGAATTGGTTCCCTAAGTGTAAAATTCAAATATTTCGACCGTTATACAAGGGGGGAATCGGTACCCCCTGGGGGGGAATCGGTTCCCTCCGAGCATACTGGAATTCTCGGAGCCAAACCATTCAGGGGGGAATCGGTACCCCCTTGGGGGGGAATCGGTTCCCTCTGAGCAATCTGAAATTTTTGGCTTTGAAATGGTTCGAAATACTTTGTAAAATTATTTTGAAATTGTTTTAAGATTAAAACTTAATTTTACACTTGAGTAAGGATTAAAAATGACATTTGAAATATTTAGAGTAATGTTTTGATATTCGAATAATTATATCGAATATACTTAGAAAACCTTTGTGCACAATCTTAAATTTTATTTTAACTTAATTTGTTATATCGAAATATCAAAATGTTTTCAACAATTTCCCCCTTTTTGATATAACAAAACATTTTAGTAATTTTAAGATTTTGAAATAAAAAACCGACGTTTTTGAAAATTACTCCCCCTTACTTTAACACTTACTCCTCTTTTAAAACATTTAACACTTCTCCTCCTTTTTGTTAAATAAAAAAGACATTTGTAAAGAATTTAAACAAGGTTTTGAAATCATTTAGCCAATTATATAGATTAAGCTGCTAAGATCACAATTAAGAGAAAGATTAGCCATTAGTTCCATAATTCAATATTCATAAACAATGTGAAATGGCAAAAAAAAATTGGTCATAATGCAACTAATATGTAAATGATGCAAAAATAAACATTAAGCTATAAATGAAAGTGAAAATCAAATCAAATATATAAGCATGTAAGTTCAAATATCCAATTATCCAACAAATTCAAACACTCAAAATAAAACAATCCATGAACATCAAAATGTTTCACAATTAAAAGTTCTGAGTTCGGGACCATTGACCCAAAGATGGAGTTTGATAAACAAATTACAAGGAGACAACCATAAACCAAGGTTTTTATATTCTTGAAAGGAACAATGTTTATGGAAACTCACTAAAGATGATCTATGGCAGATTAATCTTCTTTTTATGTTGGATATAATATATCGACCATATATCTATGTCCCTAAGGGGGGAGTACTTATCTCTGGATGGTCTAAACCACCAAGAGATCAAATAATGAAGGAATCTATCACGATGAGTTCTTAGGGTACTCTCACTATCCTTAGACTTATAGGGTGAATCCACAGTCTCTTTTTCATTAAACCTGAGTTATCTAGTCCAAAATGGGTAGCGATTGTGCCGGAGTCAATAAAAATGAATTGTCCTAAAAGATAGGATCGAATTCCTATAGTTTCAGATCGGAGCTCGTTTTGGACACATACCACATTGGAATAGAAAAATGCGGACTAATTGATGATAAACCAAAGGTTTGAGTTTAAAGAGTTTATCAAACTTCTAGGATTTAAGAGTAGGAAGATATTGGAAGTCCATATCTTCTATAGCTTGGATCGAAGGGATACACTCTTCCCAGATTTTATATGACTCAAAACAAGTATGGTACATATGGTATAGATCTTGTCCACAACCAGGTATATTGAAACAAGAGTTCATAATGGTTATATTTGGGTTATTTGGATTGGGTGGAGGAATAAGAGGTCGATTTTGACTTGAGCTACTAGACAATGTCCTAGGTCGTTTAGGATTTGACATGGTTTAAGAATCAAAATAGAATATGTAACCTGCAAATTTAAACACATGTATGCAATATAATCAAACCCAAAACTCAAATGATTCCTCAATATTTCAAGGTTCTCTAAACCAAATCCTAAAGGGCAATGTTTTGAAAAATTATTTGGAAAATAATGTTTGAAAATCATAATACGTATAGTTTTTATGAAAACATAATTGAATCAAAAACATCAATTAAAACAACAATTTTTGATTTTTTTTATTTCAAAATTTAAAGATAGTTTTGAAAAATTGAGTGTTTTGACGAAATTGGTTGTAAAATCATCATATAACCAATGCCCGATGTAATGTTCATCTTAGAACTAATCAAAACTAGTCTTAAGTTAAAAAATCAATGAA